GCTGGGGGATTGAACCGCGGTCCATGTGCGTTGACTAAGCTTGTTCTAAGTAGGTGCTTTAGACCACTGAGCCATCTCCCCAGCCCTTGGTAGTTTATTTGTATTGAATTCTGGAATCAAATTTTCACCTGTGCTAAGGTGAGAGACAAACTTATTAATGATTTTCTTTTCTTTTAGGCGGAGATTTGATTTGCAGAATCCATCCAGAATGGATCGTAATGTTGAAATGTTTATGAACATTGAAAAAACATTGGTACAGGTAACTATGAAGTTAGGTTATTAAAAAAAATTTACATACTGTTTCAGTTTTGTCATTGGCCATACTGAATTCCAAAAGGCCAAAGGAAGAAAATTTTCTGAAATACGTAGTTTATTTTTATGGATATTTGGGGCTAATGAATGATCTTGTCACTTATAGACTGTCAGTCTTAACTTTCTGATGGAATAATCTGTGATGTCATCATTCTACCCTACCTGTTATTTGAGGCACTTTTATTTCATTTAATTAAACAATCTCTTATCCTATGGTCACTTTACTTTGCAGTTATTTCTTTGTTTTGTAGTTGTGACAGAAGTGTAGATCTGCCTTTCGTTGCTAAATTATGACCTGGAATAAGAGAATGTTTTTGTTATTTCTAGTTTTTTGTTTGGTGATACTGGGGGTTCAGGTCCTAGCACATGCTTAGCAAGTATTCTACCACAAGCTACTTCCTGAGGCCACTTTTCTGATATTTTATTTACTGGTAATTTATAGTGATCGCTGAAGTACAATTATGGGTCAAAGTAACAGGCAAAAATTAATTTGTGAAAGTCATTTGTCCACAGGCTGTTAGTTTGGGAAATTTGGTGTGTTTTGTCAGTTGAATTTTAGTCTTTGTGGAAGGGAGCAATAAACGTGTTTTATTGTTATTTTTATGATTCGAAGAAAGCTATAATTCTCAAATCAAGGGTGTAGCTGAATATGCTGCATTAGACTCTTACAGTAAATTTAGCTATGATTTACCTAGAGGATTATTGTGGCAGTATAATTAATACCTTAATGTCAAACTTGGTAGATGGCTTTTTTTTTTTTTTTTTTTCTTTATTATTTTTTTATTTTTTTATTTATTTTTTTGTGGAACCAGGGATTGAACTCAGGCCCTTATGCTTGCCAGGGAAGCACTTATTCCACTGAGCCATCTCCCCGGCCCTTAATAAGATTTCTTTAGATCATGATTCTTAACATTTTTTTGTGCACCTCGTACAGTCAAGGGCAGAGGATTTTTTTTTTTTTTTTTTTTTTTAAATGTATTTGGTACAGTGTCTCACTATGCAGCTCGGGCCTATGGTGATCCTTCTGTTTTCAGCCTCCCCAGTGCTGGGATTACAGATGTGCGCCACCATGACTGGTCTCTGTGGCCTGCTCAGTATGCCCAGGGATGGGGCCAGCATGGCCTGCGGTGCCGAGGATTGAACGAACCCTTGTCGCTGTGCTTGCCTAGGCAGGTGCTTTGTCCCCTGAGCTATCTCACCGGCTCCAGAGGATTGTTTTAATTGGCCTGCTGAACTACCTGTTTTATTTTCACTTTCTATATTAGGTTGCATCTCCTCAGGTTTTAAGTTTGTTTGAATGCCAGCTTCTGTTAGGGCAAGGGATAAATGATAGTTTAAGAACAAGTAGAACTTCAAAGTCTGTTCTTCATTCCTCAGAATAATTGTCTGACCAGGCCCAACATCTACCTCATTCCAGACATTGATCTGAAGTTGGCTAACAAGCTGAAAGATATCATCAAACGACATCAGGTAATAGGCACAGTCACTTGAGAAACACTGCATTGCTAAGTCTGTGAGAAATGTCAGTCACGGTATCTTTAGATTTCTATGTCAGAACTTAAAGACAGCTTCTTTTTTGGTTTTTGGGATACCATTTATTTTTTAACCTGATTTTTAGCTGAGACTAGTACTTAGTAAAGGCACTGGAATGCAGTTATCAGTCATGTAAAGCATACTCAGAGTTGAGACTAGTGTATTTTTCATCACAGAATGAAATCAGAGAAATCACTGGGTCACAGAGAGTTTTGTCACATTTATTGCTAGGAGAAGGTGAACTATATGCTGAGTAAACACATCTCTTCCCCCATCCCATCATAGGCATCCTATTTATTTAATTTTTTGTTACTACCTATTTTTACGTTTTTATTTATTTGGTACAGGGTCTTGCTACAGAGCTCAGACTCATAGGGATCCTCCTGTCTCAGCCTCCCCAGAGCTGGGATTACAGGTGTGTAATCCTGCTTGATTTTGAAAACACCATGCCTGATTTTGAAGCCAGCATGGCATGTGCTAAGGATTGAACTCAGGATCTTGTGCTTGCCAGGCAGATGCTTAGACTGCCGTGCTGTGTCCCCAGCCCTATAGTTACTGTTTTTGTGTGAGCGCACCATGTACACACGTGTGTGTGTGTGTGTGTGTGTGTGTGTGTGTGTGTGTGTGTGTTAACTGGTTATCTGGGACCTTGAGCATGCTAGGCAAGTGCTCCGTTATTGAGCCTATATTCCCTAGCCCATTTATTTTTTTATTTTTATTTGGATCTCATTATGCACATAGGACTTGTAGTGATCCTTTCTGTTTTTTAGCCTCCAGGCCGGCACCCGAACCCCTGACCCCTGTGTCAGCATAAGCAGGCACTTTAATCTGCTGAGCTATTTGGCCAGCCCTTCACCAGCCCATTTATTTGGGTGTTTTTATTTTTCCAGTATCATCTTGTTTATATTGTGAAAGCTGGATTAAAATATTTCTGTCAGCTGGCCATGGTGATACATGCCTATAATCTGAGCACTTGGGATGCTGAGGCAGGAGGATTGTTGTCAGTTTGAGGCCAGGCTAAACTATGTAATGAGACCTTTCCACAAAGAATAAAGAAAGCAGACAAACACATATAAGTTGGATAAAAAACTGGGCATGATGGTATAACTGTAGTTCCAGCTGGAGGATTGAGTTTGAAGGTAACCTGTGCAATTTCATGAGACTCTATCTTAAAATGAAAAGGAGATGGGGACATAACTTCGTGTAAAGGCCCTGGGTTCATTCTCCAGTTATGCAAATATGTAACTACAAAGTAACATCTGTTCTCTTCATAAGCTTATGTTTTGACAGATATGCAGTTTTCTGATATATTTATTTTATTTTAGGCTGAAACTGGGTTTCATATTTATCTGCATACACATCTGTGATTAATGACATGGCTAATAAAACACACTATGGTAAACTAGTGGAGAACACTTCAGATAGAAGATATTTCTTGAAGGGCTGGTGAGATAGCTCTGTAGACTAAGTGCCTGCTTAGGCAAGCGCAGGAACTGGGGTTTGATCCCCCAGCACCATATGCTACACAAGTTTTTATAATTATTATCATTGATAAATACTCTGTTAATGAAATTCTGAGAATGTATTTAGGATCTAATTATAAGACTTTACCTATTTTTGGGCTGGCTTTGTATGCTGTGATCATGCTTCAACCTACCAGTTGAATGGCCATTACTTTTTTTTTTTTAATTTATTTATGTGTATGGGTGTGTGGGTGTGTGGGTGTGTGGGTGGCCAGCTCAGCCCACCAGGGGGCAGGGCTGGCTGGCATGTGGTGCTGGGGGATTGAACTGCGGTCCCTGTGCTTTGCTAAGCTTGTTCTAAGTAGGTGCTTTAGACCACTGAGCCATCTCACCAGCCCCATTACTCTTGCAGTATTAAAATTAATTATTTTTTTGCGAAATTGGGTATTGAACTCAGGCCCTTGACTTGCCAGGCAAGCACTTACTCTACTGAGCTATGTTCCCAGCCCCCATTATTCTTATCTATAGGATGAACATTTTTGTTGTAGATTGTTTTCAAGTCATGATACATACATACATATATATATTTATATATATTAGTCTTTGAGTTGTGGCCTAGCTGTGTTTCACTTTAGTTGTTTATTAGTTTGTACTCCAATATGACTTAAAAACACAATAGATGCATTTATTTGTTTTGGTGGAACTGGGGATTGAACTCAGGCCCTTGTGCTTGCCAGGCAAGCACTTACTCTACTGAGCCATCTCCATGGCCCCTATAGGTGCATTTATATATGTGTTTTTTCTGATGTCTGACCATGTATCATATAGCCCAGGCTCCCTTCTCAATGCCCTAAACCTGAATGGATTGACATCAGTTAATTTTCATAGTTTATTATGGTTTTTGAGTAATGTTAATAATTGGTTGAAGTACTCACATTACTGTTGAGAGGTGAACAGAATTAGCCAAGAGTTAAAGTCAGAGTATCTTTAATCTGAACTCTGGAATCTCAACTTAGAGTGTCAGAAAGTTTCAGGTTATGGAACATTTTAGATTTTGGGATTAGGAGTGCTCATTTGAAGCAAACCATCCAAAATCTGAAGAACTCTGATATCAAGCACTTTGGTCCCAAACATTTGGCTTAGGGGAGACTCAGCTTGGAAGCCTGTAGACCATATTTTTTGTCATTATAAATCATCCCTTTCCTTGACTAAAACCAATAAATGTAGTCTTGAGATACGAATCAAATAATGTTTTGTAATTCTTACAGAATTTGTAGCTAGCATCTGCATTTTTTCTCTGTACTTCATTTTTATATTCTTTGTTGATTTACTTTGCAGGGGACATTCACTGATGAGAAGTCGAAGGCTTCCCACCACATTTATCCATATCCTTCCTCACAAGAGGATGGTAAGTTAGCTGTGGTTGTGAACTGGGCAACTCGTACACCATATCATAAGGCCTTTTAGATCAGCCGAAGAGGTTAAAACACTACAGCCAGCTTTGTGTGTGTGTGTGTGTGTGTGTGTGTGTGTGTGTGTGTGTGTGTGTTTGGTTTTGGAGACAGGGTCTTGCTATGTAGTCCAGGCTGCCCTTAAACTGACTTTGTAGCCTAGGGTAGCCACAAATTTGCAGGAGTCCTACTGCCTCAGGGTGCTGGGATTTCAGGAGTGTGCCACCAGGCCTAACCCTAAAAAAGCGACTTTTAAGGCTGGATCTGATCACACATTGCTTGTAATCACAATAGTCTGGGAGGCTGAGGCTGGAAAATAGTCATATTCAAGGCTAGCATGGGCAATTTTATACAACCTTGTCTAAATAAATAAAAAAATTTTTAAAGCGAGATACCTAGAGTTGGCAAGTTGCTGCTTTAGTTCTCAAACTTTATTTATTTATTTATTATTTTTCTCCCCACAAGCTTTTTGGATAGGCGGTAAATTAGAGGTGACTGCCTGAGTCAGAGGGAGTTCAGTGAGTCCCCGTTCCCCTAAAGCCTTAAAGAAATAAAGCAAAACAGAACAAAAGATAGCAGAAAACTTCCCTAATATGGGAAAACAATCTGACATTCAGAAAACCGAAGCATATAGAACTCCAAATAACATCAACCCAATTAAAACCACACCCAGACATATAATAATCAAGATCCCAGAAATTCAGCACAGGAACAGTATGCTAAAAGCCACTAAAGAAAAGAAACAGATCACATTTAAAGGAAAACCCTTTAAAGTGATGGCAGATTTCTCTTCACGAACCATCAAGTCAAGAAGAGCATGGAGCAAAGTAATACAAGTCTTTCAGGAAAACAAATTCCAACCCAGACTGATATACCATGCAGAACTCTCTTTCAAGTATAATGGAGAAGTGGAATACTTCTGGTCAAGCGCTTATCCTACTGAGCCATCTCCCCGGCCCCAAGGAATACTTCCATAACAAAGAAAAACGTAAGAATTTCATGATGACAAAGCCAAGCCTACACAGACTATTAAACGATGTTCCCGAGAGGGAGCAAAATAATCACAACTCCATGAATGAGAATGGAAAGACCCCCACCAAATAGGGCAAACAGTTAAACATAGGAGAATAAGAGGTATACAAAAGTAGTCTTTCAGTTATTCTTTTGTGTACAGCAGCAAAATATTTCCATCAGCACACTTTACAAGTGGACTTCTACACCTTATGGGTCATGATTCCATCTGGGTCTACAGGGTGGATTTCAAGGAAGTAGCAGTAGCTCAGTCCCACAAGTGACGCCTAGCCACCAGTAGGTGTCATGGACATTATCCATGTCCACAACACACTAGAACTTTGTGCGATATCCTATCCCCAAACTGTTAGAAGTGCTGGCCATTTATTGGCCATTCCAGTATTTATCTTATGTTTTATTCTTAGTACTGCTTTATTAACACAAAAACTTCATAACCACTAAGAAGATAACAGTGTACAGTGTACTAATTATTGGAACTGTCCTATTAATCAGCAAAAAAAAAACTTAGTTCAAGTATTTTGAAACATTTAATTTTTAATTAGTATTTAGTTTTCTTGAATATTGCTTAATTTTAATTTGTGTTTTAAGATTTATACTGTATCTTTGACTTACAATTTATTTAAAAGATATGGTATATTTTCTCCTAGTATTAAAAACCTTAAAAAGTATATTTCCATTTTCCGTTGACTTTATATTGCTTTTTCCCTGTCTTTTATACACATATACACATACATATATATGAAAAAAAAAATACGTGTATAACCAGACATAAGGTGGGTACTGTTTCATAGAAATATTTAATGACCTTTTATTTTTTTTCCCATAATTTTATTGATAAACAGATAGCAGTGAGACAGTTTCAAATCAAATTGGTAGGACAGTTTCAATAATTCACACATTGCATACATTCTTCCTAGTGGTTAATTGCTGTACAAGATGTGGACATGATATCCCATTTACAAACACCATTAGAACAAATCGCTCTGTTCATTAAGAGAATGTAACTATATATCTG